ATATATATATATGTTTTTTTTTTTTTTTCCTTTCGATAAAGAAATTTTTTATGAAATTATAGCGGAAGGGAAAACGAATTTTGCAATTATTATTATATGAATTATTTGATCATATAAGAATAATATTTATATACATATATAAATTAAATAAAATTTGATTAACACTCCGACAGTTTATGCACAATTTTGACACATGGTAAAATGTATTAAGAAAATGATATTTGATAGTACGAAACGCCTCGTATTAGTATATGCTCATCATCATTATTTTTATTAGCATTATCTCTTAAATAGGCCATCATTATTTAGGAAATAGAAATTGGGGAACGTCGTAAATAGTAAATTTATAAAATTAAATTAAAAAATAACAGATTCTAAATTTATTTTAAAATTAGATCCGGCTAAAGCACAAAAACTCAAAAAGGAGTCATCATCCTACACAGCTTCGCTCTGTGTCTGGTATTCCGTTTACAAACAAATAAACCCGAAAACTAAAAGGAAAGGGAGGGACCCATTTTTGGAAGTGCAGGTTCAATCTCCGCAGTTGCAGGAACTGAAGAGATGGCAAAAGCACCCCAGATCGCCATTGTTGGAGCTGGTATCTTTGTCAGGACCCAGTACATTCCTAGGCTCTCCGAGATCTCCGACCTCGTATCTCTCAAAGCCATTTGGAGCCGTTCCGAGGTATTCTAATCACTTCTTCATTTTCTTTTTGTTTTTCTTCGATTGTTTGGATGGTCGAAAACAGAGCTGAGTAACCTGAACGTTTTCTGGGATTTCATGCGTTCGTTTTTATGTTGGGTGTTCAGGAATCTGCAAGAGGAGCGGTTGAAATTGCTCAGAAGTTCTTTCCAGGAGTAGAATGCAAATGGGGTGATAAGGGTTTCGATGAGATTGTTCAAGACAATTCTATACTTGGCGTTGCGGTGGTTTTAGCTGGCCAAGCTCAGGTATTTATTTTGTTTTAATTCATATGCCATTCGAATGTTTCAGATTGTTGCTTAACTTTCACATTATTGGATTGACCAAAACTTCGTTGATCTAAGACAAGTTTTATATGTCTAAATATGTCTATCAGTAGATTAGTGGATTTTGTCCCATCTTCGAGGGTGGTAAAGAAGCAAAATGTCCAGCTTTTTCCTTCTTTTCTAGTTTCTGATTGCGGCCGGTAATAACCGAAAAGAGGAAAAAGGAAAAGAAGAAGCAAAATGTCCAGCTTTTTCCTTCTTTTCTAGTTTCTGATTGCGGCCGGTAATAACCGAAAAGAGGAAATAAGATTGAGGTTGGAATTTGGTTCTGATTTACCTAGGCTTAAAATTTGGGACCGAAATTTTGGTTCATTTTTTACATCCTTTTATACATGAATGCAGAACATTCTGAGCAAGGAAATGTGTCAGGAGTAAAGAATGGTGAAAATAAAGTATATAAGCAACGGAATCTAAGTCCTTTGGTGTGATAATATTCGCAAACCATTTAGCATGAATCTTTTGACTTCAGTTTTCAGTATGTTCACAAAAGCTACCTAAACATTTGTTTTTCCCTTCTGATAGATTCTTAAAACATGTTATAATATGTTATCTTAGTTGTGAGATGCTGTCTTTAACGTATAGACCATTTCGTGTAGGTTGATTTTTCACTAAGGCTGCTCAAGGCAGGGAAGCATGTCCTTCAAGGTAATTTCTTTTTCATGGAACAAACAAATTCCTATCTGAGTGTTGACACTCTTTCTATTCTTCGTGGGCTATGAACTAAAACCTCCCTTTTCCATTCTATCGCATGGTGAACTTGGCAAATCTGAAGAGAAACCGGCAGCAGCTTGTAAGTAGTAAGAAGTTTCAGCTGAAGCAGTATAAAATGTTTTAAACGGTTAGTTAGGTTATTTGTTACTAAGGTACTAAATAGTATGGTAATGCAGCTACAAGTGAACTGGAAGCTGCTCTGGCGGGCTATAATTCCATTAGTGTCAATGTCCCCAGTAAACCCATTTGGGCTGTAGCAGAAAACTATCGGTTTGAACCTGCTTTTGTTGAGGTACTTATATCTGGCATATAGCTACCTTCCTTTTTCATGGCATCTCAGCCACTCATCTGTTATAACCCTTGGGTAGAACTCATTCTCAAAAGCTAGCTTGTAGGGAGAGGGTGTCCAAGTGGTTATAAACCCACATGCTAAGCCCATACTTTAGTAATGTGGGACTCAACCAGGATCCTAACATACCACTAAGCTTCCGACAACAACGTCCACGGTGGCCCACTCTGGCCATTCCAGGTCGCCCCTCCCCAGGTCACCCCTTCCGCAATGTGGGCCTGAGGTGGGGTATGCTCTTATACCAATTGTTATAACCCTTGGATAGAACTCATCCCCAAAAGCTAGTTTGTAGGGAGAGGGTGCCCAAGTGGTTATAAACCCACATGCTAAGCCCATACTTTAGAAATGTGGGACTCAACCAGGATCCTAACATCATCATTGCTTTTTCACAGAGCAAAAAGCTAGTAGCTGAAGTCGGAGATATGATGAGCGTCCAAGTTATTATTGAAGGATCAATGAACAGTTCAAATCCGTACTTCTCAAGCTCTTGGAGGCGCAATTTTTCAGTATGTTCTACATATATAACTCGTAAAAGTTGATTTTTTTTTCCTTCCCATCAGAAATATACTTTCTTGTCTCAACTGATGCCTAGTTCTCATTTAATTATCGTGAGAATCATTTTTTTTTTCTAAACGTACTTCTAGAGAATATTGAGTAACAGATTAATTCTTTCTAAGGTGCGAGTTCTTTATTGTAGGATCTCTAAGTAGCATTTTTATGATAACTGTAACTTTATTATTATTCATCAAAAAAAAAAAAAGAATAAAGAAACGAAACTTTATTGCATAACCTGTTCTCATCCCATCTATCTTATACTACCATTTTTGTTTCTTAAGTTAACAAGTTTCTACCTTTATGGCAGGGTGGTTTCATTCTTGATATGGGGGTGCATTTTGTCGCAGGAATGAGGATGGTAATGTTGCCTTTTAAGTCTTAATGCTTGTAGACTACGATCTTAGTTACTTCCAATACCAGTCCCTGCTGTTTCGTACTAATAATTCAACTCAAAATGGTCTATGGCATTGGTTAAAGGTTTTTAACTTGTCCATGTGCTCAAAAACTAGCCTCCGTTCATTTCACCGATTTGAGTTTAGAATTCAAGTTTTGCTACAGTAAAAAACTCTCAGAAACAGTCACATCTAACTTTTTTACTACAGTAAAAAGCTCTCACATAAAGTCACATCTCAACTCGAATCAGCAAACTAAATGGGCCCAAATGTATTTTCAATTATTGGCATTTATTAACAATTCAAGTGTGAAATTTGAAAATTTGTTGGACGGGTTTTCTTCCTTTTCTCCTGTCAAAATTTGAGCAACTGGATGAGGAATGTTTTCCTGTTCATTGAAACAGCTTGTCGGATCTGAGGTAGTCTCAGTGTCAGCTGCTACATCTCACGTGGACAAGACTTTACCTCCACCGGATAACATATCCTCTCTTTTGTAAGTTATAGTTGCCTCGTGAAAACTTAAGTATGTACATTTTTTCGTTTTCACCCAACACAATTGAAAGTTCTTAAGTCTGCTTATTTTGGATTTCTTGGATTAGTCAATTGGAGAATGGATGTTCTGGGGTTTTTGTGGTGGTTGTGTCCTCAAGCTCTCCCAAGGTATTGCGATAAACTCAAAATTTTGTATTTTTTTATATGCATAAGAAATTTCTCATTTAGTTGTTCTGTTTTTCCTTTTAGATACTCTGGAGGGTTGTTGGCTTGAAGGGCACACTACAAGTTGAGCGCGGAAAGCATGATGGTCAACATGGGTACCTGGTAACTTGAAAGGCAACAATTAGTCTACTAAATTTGTTTGACATTAAAATATTGGGTGCTTTATTAATTAATGTATTTGTTCAGGACTAAAAATGGTCTTTCAGGCTACAAGTAAAAAGGTCCAAAAGGAAACAGTAGAAAGACTCATCATCTTTGATATCTTGGACACTACTGTTTCAGGTTTCATTTTATGGTGCTGATGGACAGAGCAAAAGCACATTCTACAGATTCAGTGGAGTAACTGAGGAATTCAAAAGTTTTATACATGACATTTCACAAGCCAGCGTGAAGGTACTTAGATTCTTCAGCTTAAAGCTTAGTCAATTTCCTTGATAGATTTGGTTTATCAGAGTGTTTTATAATTGATAAAGTTAGTTTTATGATAGTTTTCCCATGATTATGTCCTGAGGATCCCTTAGTATGTTATACTTGTGGTTTTGACTACAAATATTTTCTCATGCCACCTTCTTTCTCTCTATTAATTTGAAACGTTTTGGGCCTATCCTCTGACCCTTTTCACTTCTTTGTTGCTGAAGGGGGGTGTCCATGTAGCCGAGCCTCGTATGTCTTTCGTGGAAGGTGCCCGAGATGTTGCTGTTCTAGAGGCAATGCTGGAATCTGGAGCAAAGCAAGGTGCACCAGTTCATGTAAAAAAGTTTTGAACTTTGATAATGGCTCTATCTCTGGTCTATATAATTGATTTGTGGCGGCTAACATGTTGGTTACATTGCATTTTGTGTTCAATTTTTTGTATCTAAATATGAAATTAAAATAATGAAAAAGTAAAAAATAATCTATTGACACCCTACAAAGTGTTATTTGGTTTGTAGAAGATGATGTAATGCAGCTTCTCATTTCATCAATATGTTGGTAATGAACCTTTTGAAATCAGTTAAACAAGGAAAAACAACAAAGTTTTCTACTTGAATCAAGTATTTTTCTTTTTATTACTTTGCAAGCCTTATAAAGCATTAATAGCCAATGTAATTATGGTGTCAAATTTGAGAGCTAGAGAAAAAGTGCAATCCAGTTCATTGTGTTGGGAGAATATAAGATGGATGCATTCAGTGTGAGTTTTCAACATGTAATATCTTGTTGAAGTAACTATCAGAGGACAGAGTTGGGCGACTCTATTGAAGGAGTCTACCACATGTAGGCATTAAATTGTCTGAATGTCATCCCATTGAGGTAGTGGAGCACCATCTTACCCACTCACCCTTCTGCAACTTGAAAAACAAAAATGGTTCTCACTCATCGCTCATAAAATGGTAGGTCTCATCGACCTATTTAGTGAGATCCACCTCATGTGAGTAGCAGGATTTCAACCCCATGGGGATGAATAGTAATGGTCTTTGAAAAATAATTCAACTGTTTGAACTTAAAATTATAAGAATAGACCTTGGACTAGATAAAAATTAAAAAAAAAACAATGCTATTTATAGTCATTGGAGAAATTATGGTACAATTGTAACATGTGTCAGCGCATCAGAACTCACACGAGACTATGTGAGACCTAATAATTTATATATATATATATATATATATATATATATATTTTCATGTGACAGTCCATTTTATTACTACATGATAGCGGTGCTCAAAAACCATGGCAAACAAGCAGTCATCTTCTGTTCCCTTAATTGTACGGAAAGCACAAGCTTTTCTCATATATAATTCCTCCCTTTGTCGTAGAAATCCGTCTTCACCTTATTTTAAGATCTCGTTTATTTAATTGATTAGGGTTTTTAATTCTAAATTTTTATAGTTAAAATCTCTTAAAAAATATAATATATAATTTTTTTATTATAATTAAAAAATCTTAAAATATATCACATTTCAATTTAAATAGAAAATATAAATTTACAAAACGAACGAGATTTAAATATTACCTTATCGAAAATATTTTTTTTTTTTTTTTTTTTTTGAAAAAATAATAAACACACGCTTTTACTTCACTTGAATGTGAAGAAATTTATACTGTCTGAGCCAGAATTTCTAGTACAATCGATATGACCAGGATACACTGGGCCTGTATAATTGATGTGTGTGGGCTGCATGTCTAGTAAATATCTTTCATGCCAGCTATTTTGATGTACTTTAATTGTATACTGAAATGGTAAAAGATTTGTCAATCCTGACGTTTTTACAATCTCATAGATTAAATGCTTTTACTGTAAAACACACTCAGAACGCGCATTATCCCCACTTGAGTACCAATTCTATTACTAGCTTTCGTGTTTTTTTTTTTTTTGTTTTAATACAAACACAGGGTCTTAAGCTAATAGTTTTCATTTTATTATTGTCTTATTATGAGTTTATGAGTTTTCATTTAATCCGCAATTTCTTCATAAATCCTATCCCACCCGAACCCGTCGGTGTCACTAGATCAACCGGTTTTAGGCTAATAGTTTTCATTTTATTATTCTCTAATTATGAGTCTTGAAGGCATTAACTGACCACTGAAAGGAAAAGGGAGGTCACCCCTGGAATGTCCTTTGTTAGCTAATCGATCGTTTTCAATTAGAATTAAGGAAAATAGTAGAAAATACGCCAATATAAAAAGCTTAAGAAAGTATATAGGTCAATTTTTAGTTATAGAAATTAAGAGAACATAACTTGTCAAGTTATGGTTCATAATCAGATAAGTTATGGATAAACTTGTCAAATTATGGTTCATAGTCAGACAAGTTATGGACAAAAATCGTGAATTATGGACAATAATTTGTCAAGTTATGATTTATAATCAGACAAGTTATGGACGAAAATATTAATTTGGCATATTTATTAACTTATATAAACTATTGGCCTATTAATTTTAATTCATCTCAAGTTTTGACCTATTTCTCTCTTTTTCCCTAGAATTAATTCAATCAAGGGTAAATTCATTTATCAAAATTGAAAATAACTATAAAAAAGTCATGCGCCCGTAATGTTTTGTCATTTGCGAGTTGGGTTCCAAATTTTTACTTTTGACAATCCTTAACAATGTAGTCAGTATTGGCCTATTAATTTTAATTCATCTCAAGTCTTGACTTATTTCTCTCTTTTTTCCTAGAATTAATTCAATCAAGGGTAAATTCATTTATCAAAATTGAAAATAACTATAAAAAAGTCATGCACCCGTAATGTTTTGTCATTTGCGAGTTGGGTTCCAAATTTTTACTTTTGACAATCCTTAACAATGTAGTCAGTAAAAAAACGACATCAATTAGTAGAGAGCAATTGGAATCCAAAATGCCAAATTACAAAGTTTAGGGTTCAATTTACGGACAACAAAAAATTTTTGGTTCATTTGTGCAAAAAATTGAGCATTTTCGTCCATTAATGTGTATACATTAGTTATTGAACTAGAAGTGCAATCGATTTTCAAATTTAGGAACTAGAAGTGCAATCGATTTTTAAATTTAGGATCCTATTTATCTAAATTAAAAGTTTGAGATCTAAATTGTTAATAATCGATCAGTAGATGCTCATTAATGCAATTAATTCTTCAAAATGCACACCAATAAAATGACTTGAAAGCTATTGAATTGCCAGAAAGAATGTTCCTCTAAAAGATAAAACGTTGCAGTTTTGAGTGAAAAAGAGCAAAGGTTGATTTTTTATGATGCCCTATCATACCTTTTCTCATTATTTTTCTCAACGCTATGGAAAGCAATAGTGGGCCTAAAATTTGCAAATTTTCTTACCAAAAACCATAAATGACATTGATGATATGTGAACACCATACACTACCCTGTAGTTTTCACACCCCTTTTATGCATGGAAAATTGTGGATTGTGGTGGGTATGGCCAAAAATAAAGTACTTGCTGACAAAAAGAAAAAAGAAAAAAAGGTTCCATTTTACAACTTTTGCACTGGTCGGGGCAATAATTTCCAAGTAACGGTATGTAATTTTCTCAGTAGTTTTGTAACATGGCTTTTGTTAAACGTACAAGTTTTGAAAAAAAGGAAAAGCAAGTCAAGTTGAAAATGTGTGAGAACTTGAGCTAACAAATATTGATGAGTTCCAAAAATTGTATACTAGAAGAAACAAAGCAACATAATTGCATTTGGTTAATGTTTCATGGATTATGACACTCTTGGCTAAGACCAAAATCATCATTATTATTATTTATTCATTAGCCACAATTTTGATATTGAATTATGGAATATGTAAAACTTGAACTCCAAGTTTTGTCATCATGTAATTAGTTTTGGAATAGCCTACGAATAGCTATTAAGTCATAGTTACGAGGATCAATAGAAAGCGCTTGCGGTAATGTATTCCTTAAGGAGCCTAAATGTACGTAGATGGTACGTTTGAAATTGATTTTTATTTATTTTTAAAAACATTTTTGTCTATATTTTGAGGCACGAAAATGAAAGTAGTTTAGAAATTGTATTTGTTTAACAAATATTTTAAAAACGAAAATAAAAACAAAAACAGTGAGAATAGATTTTGTGGAGAAATTAAAAAACGGTTGAAAATTATTTTACTTTTTCTATTACTTATCAACAATGTTATTATAATATGTTAATTAATAATTATAACTAAACATGATTTCACTTTTTTATTATACTCAAAAAAATTTCTAAAAAAACCAACTAAACAGAATTTTAAAATCAGTTTCAGAATAATTCTTAAAATAATTTTATTTTTAATTTTGTATTGAAAATAAAATTATTATAAAAATATTACCAAACAGCCCAAAGCTTCAACACGTTTGACGAAGTAAGAGTGGAAGTTTGGTTGAGCAAAAGTAAAGATAAGAGCAGAAGTAGAAAAATGATTTTCAGGGGAAATAGAAAGAGTTGAACAGTTCAAAAATTTTCAAAATATAAATAAGAGTTTTTTGTAAGATCAGAACAAATTATCAGTAATTCTATATTTTTTCAATCGTTAATTTTCTATTAAAATTATTTATTCTATATATTTTTTAATTTAATGTGATTTTAATTAAATTTAAGAGTAAAAAATTGACATTATTAAGAAATTGAAAAAAGACTATCCAAAGAAAGTCCTTAAAAATAAAAAAAAAAGAAGCCAATTTATTTGTCCACTCGCTCTTCCTCTTCTGTTTCATTTTCAAGTTTGACGAACATCAATTATTTTCCTGTAACATCCTTTTCGTAGTCAGAAAATTTATTAGATTTGTTTTCAAAAAAAAAAAATTTAGACGTTGACAGTAATGAAGTTTCTCATTTTTATTTATTTTTTATAGGAAAAATAATGTTCGAAATAACTTATCATCAATCCGTAAAACATGAAACTCAGAAACTAATAAATAATAATACAATTATCATATAATTTTGTATAATCAATTTCATAAATCACACGGGTATTGCTTTAGAAATCTTTTAAAGAACACATAACGCAATGCAATTAGCATATTAATATAAGCGGATAAAAATATTTTATAGAGACACAAATCTATTTTTTCTGATACCTTAAAAAATATTTTTATGATTATTTTAGGAGTTAATTTTTTTAACGTTTCATTTTAGTTCTCTTTGATTATTTTAGGAGTTAATTTTTTTAACGTTTCATTTTAGTTCTCTTTTATTGTTTAGAGTTACTTTTTATAAGTACAAGTAAAATTTATTTTAAAAACTCAATAATCCAAACTAAGTCTAACGATAGTTCTATTATTCAAAGAAAAAAATACAAAATAGATGAAATAGAAGAAAATCAAATGTTAGTTAAACCAAGTTAAATAAGAATAAATAAATAACAAACCTTTTATTTCGCCCATAAAAAAAAAAGATTTTTTCACGTGCGAATCACGTGACTTCATGCTCTGTCCAAGGGCTTTTTTCTAGCCATTTTCCAAGCCACGGAAAACGTGGAGACACAGAGTGTGACCCTACCAAAGTCGATATACGCTACAACCGGTACGACATTCTAGTTTTGCACTCACCTAGCTGTCAATATAGAGAGCAATACACGTCACAATGGCCTATGTCATTATTGGCTTTTTCAACGATTTCATTGGGAAATCAATTTTTAAATACCCATTTTGTCCTCCGTAAGAAAGTGCAACGAATACATAAAGGCCGTAGTCCGTAAATTTGACGAACTCCTCAAGCCTATATTTTCACGTGATATATCGCGCTTTATTAGAGAATCTATTATCTACTCTACCTATCTATTATTATTATTATTAGTAGTAGTTTTGTACATAATGAAGAAGGTTTTACTAATACGAATTCATCATTGCATTATTTGCTTTACTATTATTATTAGTAGTAGCAGTTTTGTAAATAAGAAGGCCTTATTATTTGCTTGTCATTATTGCATTATATTTGTAAGTGCAGTTTTTCTACATTTTAATTTTGTTTATGTGTCTCATCCGTCTAAATTAATTATCGATGATGTGTGTGTTTATTTACACCTAAATTTATTTATAGGCCGTGTCGCTTGTGTCCTAAGTATTAGGTGTTCAATTTCGGTCGATTGCTTTTATTCATTAATTGTAGTGGTTCTTGTTAACGAACTTTAGTTGTGCTTGATTTTGTTTATGTCGAGCTAATATTTCTCTATTGGGTCTCGATATTTATGTTCGTCGTTGTGCTTCATCCGTCTTCATTGGTAAATCCAGTTAATGTCTGGGGTCGAATTCCCTTGTAAGTTGTCATCATTTACGATATTTGTATAATTTATTAATGAAATTTTCCAATAAAAATATAATTTAAAGATATATTTATTTGATTATATTAAAAACTGAAATATAGATTTTAAATAAACCAAAAATACATGGTATAAAAATATAAATATTCCTTTTCTAATTCAAAAACTTCCCTAATTTAAATGACCAACGGAGATAATCAAGGAGTCTCCATTTTATTTTTCCCAATTTATCATCTCGAAGAAAAACAAAAGTCCCTCCAACTCCGACCAACCACCAATCAACCGTGCCCGCACGTGCCAAAACCAACCACGATCCTCACACGTGTGTCTCCTGTTACTGTGTAGTAGAAAGCAACAAAATAAAATAAAAAATTACAAATTATACAATACAACAAAAAACAAAAAATTCGCGAAAAAGGTTTAAATAATGAGCTTTTGAAAAAATAAAATAAATAAATGAAGCAACAGATACTGAAGAGTAAGTTCTCACAGTTTCTTTACAGAGAGATTCATCAGTCTTTCACAGATCTCAGCCCCACTTACACACACTCCCAGCTCACTCTTCAGCTTCCACTTCTAATACAAACTCTTTCTTTTTTCTTTTTTTTTTTTTTCCTTTTTCATTTTCTACTTACTAAAAATCAAAATATTTTCCATTGTTACACCTTGAAGAAAGCACTCAGCTAGCTCTGTTCAAAGGTATATATATAGTTATATTTATTTATTTTATTCTCTCTTTGTGAAGTTAAACAAGTTTGCCTTTCTTGTAATGTTCAAAGATGGTTTTTTTCTTGTCATTTTTTTTTTCTCAGAGTTAGTTTGAGTAGTTGTTGAAACCTCAGTTTCTTGTTGTAGCTATCGTCTGATGTTAACGTTAAAGTTTACTTGGAGATTTGAGCTTATTATATGGCTTAGTGTCTTGGGCTTCTTTGGCATTTTCCACTAGATCTATGTGTCGTGAAATAGAAGCCACACCAGCCACATATATATTACGAACAAATTGCATTATTTCAAGGTTTTTCTTTTTTTGTCTCTTCTGTTTGGTTGCCGAGAAAGTGCGTGATCAGGAAGAAACTTAATACATGTCAACCTTTCTCGTTTCTCTTTTTTAAGCAACAGAACTTCTTCTTCTTATTTTCTCTCTTTTTTTTCTAATATATATATATATGTATATATATTGTGTATTTATGTTGTTTTTCTCTTGGATTCTGCAGGTTTTATCATGGCCTGTGGTTTAAAGCTTTTTAGAGAGAATTGAAGTGTCACTGCGTTACTGTGAAATGTACCATGTTTGATTGGCCTCTTTAATCCTTCTTGTTTGTGCTCACCTAATTCAGAAAACGCTCCTTTGAAAAATTCACACTTTTTGCGTGAATTTCATTTCTTTTATTTCGTGTTTAGTTTCTGTGTAAGCCAGAAAAAACAAAATGCGGAACACTCCACAGCAGGTGGATTTTGCTCTAAAGGAGACGTCGCCGAACATCGGCGCGGGTTCGATCACGGGCGATAAGCTTTCCTGCACCTATGACCTTGTTGAGCAAATGCAATACCTCTATGTCCGAGTTGTCAAAGCCAAGGACTTACCCGCAAAAGATGTCACTGGAAGTTGTGATCCTTATGTGGAAGTTAAGCTTGGGAACTACAAGGGAGTTACAAAGCATTTCGAGAAGAAATCGAACCCCCATTGGAATCAGTGTTTCGCTTTCTCCAAGGATCGAATTCAAGCTTCAACACTGGAAGTTCTGCTGAAAGACAAGGATATTGTGATTGATGATCTCATAGGGAGGGTTTTATTCGAGCTCAACGAGGTCCCGAAACGAGTCCCGCCTGATAGCCCTTTGGCGCCCCAGTGGTATAGAATGCAGGACAGGAAGGGAGAAAGGGTTAAAGGGGAGATAATGCTGGCTGTGTGGATGGGAACGCAGGCCGATGAGGCCTTTCCCGATGCGTGGCATTCGGATGCTGCTGCAGTCGGTCCTGAAGGCGTTGCCAACATCCGGTCCAAGGTCTACCTTTCTCCAAAGCTTTGGTATGTGAGGGTTAATGTGATTGAGGCACAGGACTTGCTACCTAGTGACAAGAGTAGGTATCCCGAGGTTTTCGTCAAGGCCATACTCGGAAACCAGCTGCTGAGGACTAGAACATCGCCAAGCAAAAGCATTAACCCAATGTGGAATGAGGATTTGATGTTTGTTGTGGCTGAACCGTTAGAGGAGCCGTTGATTCTCACTGTGGAAGATAGAGTTGGGTCGAACAAAGACGAGGTTCTTGGCAAGTGCCTGATTCCCCTGCAGACTGTGCAGAGGAGGCTGGATCATAAGCCTGTCAACACTAGGTGGTTTAATCTTGAGAGGTACATTACTGTGGATGGGGAATTAAAGAAGGAGACAAGATTTGCGAGTAGGATTCACTTGAGGCTTTGTTTGGATGGTGGTTATCATGTTTTGGATGAGTCAACTCACTACAGTAGTGATCTCAGGCCAACTGCAAAGCAATTGTGGAGGCCAAGCATTGGGATTTTGGAGCTTGGAGTGATAAGTGCCGTGGGACTAATGCCGATGAAGACTAAAGACGAGCGAGGAACCACAGATGCGTATTGTGTTGCTAAGTATGGGCAGAAATGGGTTAGGACTAGGACAATTGTGGACAGCTCTACTCCCAAGTGGAATGAGCAGTACACATGGGAGGTTTTCGATCCTTGTACTGTCATTACAATAGGGGTTTTCGACAATGGCCACATACACGGGGGTGATAAAGGCGGGAAGGATTTGAGAATCGGGAAGGTGAGGATTAGGCTCTCTACACTTGAAACTGATAGAGTGTACACACATTCATACCCTCTTCTGGTCCTTCACTCTTCTGGGGTGAAGAAAATGGGGGAAGTTCAGCTGGCTGTGAGGTTCACATGCTCATCTTTGATCAACATGTTGCACATGTACTCACATCCATTGCTGCCCAAAATGCACTACATTCATCCTTTGTCTGTTATTCAACTTGATAGCTTGAGGCACCAGGCTATGCAGATTGTTTCGATGAGGCTTAGCCGCGCTGACCCGCCGCTGAGGAAAGAGGTTGTGGAGTACATGCTTGATGTGGATTCTCACATGTGGAGTATGAGGAGAAGCAAGGCTAATTTCTTTAGAATCATGGGAGTTCTAAGTAGTTTGATTGCTGTTGGAAAATGGTTTGATCAGATATGCAACTGGAAGAATCCTCTCACAACTATACTAATCCACATTCTTTTCGTAATTCTTGTTCTTTACCCTGAGCTCATTCTTCCCACTATTTTCCTCTACCTCTTCCTAATTGGAATTTGGAACTTCAGATGGAGGCCAAGACACCCTCCTCACATGGACACCCGACTATCACACGCTGATGCAGTTCACCCCGATGAGCTAGACGAGGAGTTCGATACGTTCCCAACTTCCAAGGCATCGGATATCGTGAGGATGAGATACGATAGGCTTAGGAGTATAGCAGGCAGGGTTCAGACCGTGGTCGGGGACTTGGCAACACAAGGGGAAAGGTTTCAGTCACTGCTTAGCTGGAGAGACCCGAGAGCAAGCACTCTGTTTGTGACATTCTGTTTGATTGCTGCCATAGTTTTATATGTCACTCCGTTCCAAGTTGTGGGACTTCTTGCAGGGCTTTACACTTTGAGGCATCCGAGGTTTCGCCACAAACTTCCTTCAGTTCCACTCAACTTCTTTAGGCGCTTGCCAGCTAGATCAGACAGCATGTTGTAACGGTGACAGAAGACTATTAAGCAAGATCTCTTTAACTGCATTAAATTTGCAAACTGTTCTGTTTTATATTTATTTATTTTTGTTTTTGTTTTGTAATCAATGCATGTTTATTTGTTAGAGTTCAAGCAGATATTGCAAGCTTCTCCATGTTTGATATGTGTTGCTTTGGTTCATTCCATTGCTTGTAACATAAATGATCAAATAAAAAATATTTTTAAAAAAATCTTTATAATTAAAGGTAGACCAAAATTTGACATCTTTAATAAGGAAAACAAAGAAGGATAATGGTATTTGGATTCGAATGTTTGATATTAAAGTATTATTAACGTTGGACTTAAAAAAAGTCCCACACTTTCATGATCAAGGGAATCTCTCCATAACTTTTGTTCTTATAATAGCTTTTAGCACTTTTCACTGTTATTATAGCGACCGTTTTGTTTCACTTTTGCTTTGCAAATCTAAAGCTAATCATGGGACGTATAACAAGCCGTGACACACTTTGTACGGTCAAGGATTCAAGGAAAAACATCACTCATTATAAGTTAATAACATAACACGCACCATGTTCATTGTTTCCCCCAACAAAGCATACAAACAAAGAGAGAAGGGTAAAGAGGAAACGCTGATCGGGTTAGCCAAATATGGGCCCATCTCAATGTCTTAAGCCCATGGTTCGAGCCCAATCAGGGTTGGTTGGTCTCAATGGCCTATTAGCAAAGAGAAATTTACTGAAATTATCCGGTCTAAAAGACTATTATTTAAGAGTAAATGATAAAAAAATAATCGAAATTAAAAACAGTGTAAAATGAATGTAGACATGAAGAGAGACTGTAGTATGAATGAAGTCACCCCATAACTCATTCCCTTAATTAAACTTGGTCACTGGATAGTGACTGTGTAACGACCATTCAAATAGAGCAGCTTATACATCACTCTCTCTATTTCGTAAACAATTTGATGCAATTTAACATATAATATATTTATGGCCGTTCAGTTCGCTAATTTGAGTTTTTAATTTGAGTTGAGATGTGATATTATATGAGAGTTTTTTACTGTAGTAAAAAAATTAGATGTAGCTGTTTCTAAAAACCTTTTTACTGTAATAAAACTCGAATCAATAAAATAAACAGGACCTTAGTTTTAGAGTATTCATTCCAAACAATAGTAGTACCAGTAATAATGAAATCGGTAGAAAGAAATATGTGAATGTCAGCAGTATAGCTCATCATATATCATAATGTTATATCAGAACACGCATTTGCATTGCTGCCATTTGTTTCTCAGGTCAAAAGGCCCATCATCCCAGGTCTCTTCAAACTTATTTATCTACCAATACTTTTATATGTTTTTTTCTCATTTAGAAAAAAAAAAAAAAAGGAAAGGAAAGAATTTTATATTTTTCCTGCAACATGAAAACCAACTTAGAAGAGGTGACAATGAAATCAAACCATTTCCTTACATTTTTTAACACTAATTAAAGGGCGTATTTTGTGGAGTCTAACAAAACACAATTTCCATTCATGCAAAAAAAAAAAAAAAAGGATAAAATTAATTTAATATCCTTTATTATAACAAAATATTGAATTAGTACCTTATGTTTTTCATAACGTTAAAATAGTACTTTTAGATTTTAAAACACAATGGGTGCGTTTGGAATTGATTCCAAAACGTTTTTATTTTCTGTACGAAAATGAAAATGAAAACGTTTTTAGTTTCATTTTTGAATTATTTTTAAAAATGCGTTTGGTAGTTTTATTTAGATATTGATTTCAGTTTTAAAAAAAACTGAAACTGCGTTTGGTGGTTTAATTTTTGAAAACATGTAATAATATATTAAATAATAATATATTAAATAAATAATATTATTAAATATATTAAATAAATAATATTATTAAATATATTAAATAATAATATATTAAATAAATATATTAAATAAACATATACAATACAAAAACGGTTTCAGAAAAGAGGGAAGAAAATGAAAAAAAAAAAAGAAAGTGAAATCCGTTTTTCAGAAAATAGAAAACGAAAACGAGAAAATGAAAACACCTTTTTTTCGTTTTCTGATTTCCACAAAAAGACAAAAACGTTTTTGGTTTTGTTTTTTAAAAAAAAATTGCACCAAACACGTTTTTAACATCCGTTTTTATTTTTTTGCTTTGAAAACCGTGAAAAATGAAAATAAAAATGCAAACAAACAGGCCCAATGATTTTGATACCTTAAAGCTTTTTTTAGAATATCAAATGTCAAAAATGCCCTCTTACTTAACTAAACACAAAATAAATTTAAAAGTGTAATTGTAAAATATTTGAAAAGAATCATTTTTTATAAAAAGAACATCTTAGATCCAAAAATAAAAGGAAGAAATATTCTTCCTATTCCTTGGTCAAAAACCTATAAAAAATTAATTAATACTGTGTGGACGTTTAGTTCATATATTTAAAATTATAATTTAAAATTATTCTTAATTTATATGTATTTTTTATAAAAAAAAATACTATAATGAGTTACGAATTATGACACGAATTCTCGTACTAAACACCCTCTGAACTTTGGGATGTGATTTGCAGTAACTTATGCTGAAGAATCGATTTAGAGCAACTAATATTACTTTTAAACACGCTCTAATGAAAAAAAAACCAGATTTAAAAACCATATTCAGAGCCTCCATCCTGGCCGTCCCCGTCCCCACCCTTCGCTGCCAGTTCCCGCCGTCGCCCTGCCTTCGAAGCTGAAGCCATGACAGATCCCGAATACTGTGGGGTTGCCGCCCCTCCCCTCTCCTTCCGTCACCCTCGCTGTGGCGAAAAGGTGGTGCTTCTTCTTCTTCTAGGTCGGCAGGTCTGAGTCTAAGGTGGAGGGAGCTTGGTCTGGTGGGAGAGGAGATGGAAAAGGGGGGCTGGGCATATCTACATTATACAGATTTAGGTTTTACCGAAGAAGAGAAAAACCAAAACCGTGCTATATGCAAAGATCTGGCGTTGTTATGATCCATCTAGAATTCTTGAAACTTAGAAATTTTGTTTCGATTTATCTGGGTTTTCTCAAAGATGTGTAATTTGTTATAAAACTTGGACCTAGTTCAAGGAGACATCCCCGTAGCATCAATGGGTCTTTTGAAAAGATCAAATCTGAGTTTTTGTTTTTATTGCATAAAGGGGCTGCTTTGATTTCAATTTTTCTGGGGATATAAAAGCAAGGATGTTAGATTAGCTCATGAGGTCAAGTGCTGCGAAGTGTGTGAAGAACAGAGAAGAAGAATTAAGAAAGGATGTTATGTTTTTAGGATTGTTTGGTTTCACATTTGATTGTGGTATAAGAAAAGGAATAGTTGGGTTTGTTTGTGGTGCTAGTAAGAAAATAATAGATCAGTTTCTTTAGTTTTGGCGTTGCGGATGATCCGATTGTTTGATTATTGTCCTTAAGCTCTTTTTTTTTTCATTTTATTCTTTTCCGTTTTTAAAGTTTTACGTATTTTCATTATTATTTTTTAAATATTTAACATTTAATTAAATAAATAAAAGGGTGAAAATGACATTTCATATTTTAAAATGGGTTGGAGGTACTAAAAAAAAGTTTTCTAAATTTTAAAATATCATTTTAATATTATGAAAAATAGAGAATACCAAGTCAGAGTTTTACTATGAGGAAAGGTATTAAATTAATTTTATCCCAAAAAAAAATAAAGCCGCTGTGGTCTTTGTTGTCTGTTAAATCAGTGACATGTTGCATTAAGTCATCCATGACTAATACTTTTTTTTTTATTTTTTATTTTTTTAGTTAAAAAACTGTGATAAAAACACAATACGGAGAAGGAGATAACGTTCTAGCTAGGGAAGGAGATCAAGTTCAGGACATTAGAAATTAATAACATTTTAAGAATAAATTTGAAATTGAATTGTGTCATTTTCCCTTTTTACATCAATCTATAAATTTTGACTTTACTATTTGCCAATAAAATTAGTGGGCTTTTATTATGAAAATAAAAGGGTTCATATATCATCAATGACATTACTAGTCTCCCATGGAAAGTAGCATAAGAGAAATATAGAAGGAAAATCAGTGCCTATTGTTTGCGTCATATTTAATTATAGAATGTGGATATAATAAGCCGGCCTTTTGAGTTTTGCCTCTTGTTTCTTTCTTTTTGTTAAGGGTGACCACTCGTATTAATAGATTGTATTCATATCAATTTATTTATTATTTGTGTCAAAAAATATTAACTCAAATATAATTTATTTATTTAAACATATTAAAAATGGTAACTCAAACACGACTCATTTATTAATCGTGTTAATCGTGTCAACCCGTATAAACTGTTTAAATTAATATATTAAAAAAATAATTAATATAATAATAATTTATTTAACACAGTCAAGATAAGTTTAACATGTTTATTGATCAATTTATCTTTTTTTTTATGAAAAATAAATAAATTTTACCTACAAATATTAAAATTCACATTATTTATATTTAATATGTCATATAAACTTTCATGTTATACCACATATAATTAGATTGTAAATGACAAATATAGTTAATTGTGTAACTCGTGTCACTTCGTGTTAGAAGGTCAATCCTAACCTAACTAATTTATTAATTGTGTTAATCATATCAACCCGATTATAATTCAAACTCATTTATAATAGACTCAAATCCACTAATTTCGTACGAGTCGTATCGTGTTGTCGCTACTCAGATTGCCAACCTTATTTTTTTGTTGATATTTACTATTTACATAGATTTTCCCTCAAACTTTTGCCTCAGTCAGTAGATTCCGGAATGAATTCATACTTATACTTGAATTTCATCCATTAATTCTTCTTTCCGTGATCCTTACTACACAAGCTGACAAGACCCAATCATTGGAAATCTCAAAACGCTGTCCATATTATTTTAATTAATTTGGTCATGGTTTACAATTTTTTTCAGCCAACGTCATTTTCTTAAAAAGAAAAAGTCAATTTCTCACTTTTCAAATTACAAGGTGCACAAAATATTTCTCACTTTATTTCTTTAATACATCGATGTCTATATATATATATATATATATAATATTTTGGAAAATATACCAATTAGTTCAGTTCATGATCTGTTCATGCCGTGACAAGTGAATTTAAGAACTTGGGAT